ACATGGCCAGGAGGAGGAGAGAGCCAAAGAGGAAGACAAAAGAGAGGAGGACCTAGACAGAGGGGGCCCAGCGGGTGCTACGAGGGTGCATAGCTAAAATGGCAGGGTTATATAGGGATGAGAAACTAAGGGAAGGGAAGCCCAAGAGCTGGAGAAATTTAGGGTAGGGGTGTGGTGAGAAGAGTCGGAATGTCAGCATGAACTCTGTAAAGGTATTTGTGATGCTGGGAGAGTCTGGAAGCCGGCCTGCACTTTGGTGTGCTAATAGGTACCAGTTAGCCATTTGTCCCAGTTTCTTTTGGACCTAACCACTACATCTAAAATCAAGGAATCCCTCTGAAGCAAAATGCACAAATCGGCAAGACAGACTGTTAGATACAGCCAAGGTTGGTGAATGTCAATAGAAAGTGATTGGAGAGATGGCTCAGCAGTTATGCGCGCTGGATCCTCCTCCAGATGACCTGGATCGATTCCCAGCACCCACATGGTGGGTTGCTACCACCTGTAACTCCAGTTTGAGAGGATCTGAAGCCCTCCTCTGGCCTCTGTGTGTACCCTGCATGCATATAGTGCACAGATACACATATAGACAAAACACCAACACTCAGCAAATAAATTCACTAAAAGAAAAAGCAGAGAAAGGAAGGAAGAAGGAAGAAAGAAAGAAGGGAGGGAGGGAGGGAGGGAGGGAGGGAGGGAGGGAGGGAGGGACAAAAGACTGAGAGAGACTGTCAAGCAGAGAAAGTTCCGGGTAAAAATATTTTCCAGTGAAGATGAGATGTGGTGGATCTGTAGGGCCGGAGAGAGGGGTGTGTTTTATGCAGAAGGTGAATTTTGCGAGGGACACATGCAGGGAAGCCAGAAAAGCCACAGTTAGCTCAGCAGCCTTCATGAATTCTGTGATGAAAAGTTAGGACTGTGGGAGAAAGTTCAGGAATAGAACACAAGCCCGGAAGGGGAGATGGCTGTATGTGTGTGCCCGGAACAGGTGCACATATGTGCATATGCCTGAGGATGCGGGAAGAGGGTGCTGAGCCATCTCCACACTCCTACACACCAGAGCTGGAGTTATAGCCTCCTGATGTGGGTGCTGGGAACAGAACTCAAGTCCTCAGCAAAAGCAGCAAGTACTCTTAGTTACTGAGGCATCTCTCCGGCCTCTGGTTTTTGTTCTCTGAGTCCCTTCCTTCCTCTGTCCCTCCCCCTCTGCCTGCCTGCCTTCCTTCCTTCCTTCCTTCCTTCCTTCCTTCCTTCCTTCCTTCCTTCCTTCCTTCCTTCCATCTTTTCTTCCTCCCTCCTTGCTTCTCTTCTTTCTCCTTCCCCGTCCCTCCTTGCTCTTTCCTTCATCTTCTCCCCGCAACCGTTTACTGCCAGGTGCTTCACTCCTAACCCCTAACTGTAATTTTTAAAGAAGGGACAGGCCAGGATGTGGAGTCAGTTGCCCATCGAGGATGGATTGACAGGGAGCAGCTACTCCACCGGAAGTGGGCAGGAATCCCACACCTCCCAGGTGGTAGCCGCCACACCGCCACTCCAAGCTTTGCGTCTACCACTCACTTGCCTTCCTGCAAACTGGTGGCTGGCAGTCTCGAACCTTAGACCGGCAAAGCGGCTCCCCAACGCGGCAGCTCTGATAGAGCTGCGCTCAGACTTCTCTGCCACCCAGGCTCAGCCGTTAAGAGTACAAGGGAGGTTAGATGAAGACCCCTCGCGCTGGCTCACGCGGGGTGCCTCGCTGTAGGGTGCTGCAAGGCAAGGGCCCGCCCATCATATAACTCACCCGTGCAGTCCGAGAAGTGACTCCACGCTTAGGGGGTTCTGAGCACAGAACGGCATTAACCTGGAGATGGTAATTGAGAGGTTGGGGACCCTGACCCTTTCTTTATACTCGTATAAAACACGGTGAGAATCCAGTGTCCTTGTGCCAGTAACTTGAGCTCCTTCCTAAGGAAACCTTTGAGGGGAGCAGCGTAGGACTATGACTCTGTAAATTGCTAGAAATGTTTTTGAATAATTTTACATTTCCTGAAATTGCTTACTGTTCCATTTGAGGAACTGAATTATTTCGCCGCGTTAGTTTGCTCTGTGACTGATTGGCGATAGGCTGGGAAGACTGAAGAAAACCGATGTGATGGAGGTGTGGAGTTTGAGACCCCTAGGACAAAGACCACAGACTTAATCCAATTTTAATTAAGGTTTTATTGTTTGTTGCTAGCAGGACAACGTCCTTAAAGCCGAATCTCAGGTGTGTCGTGTAGGAAGGGTACAAGGAAGATTTTTGTTTGTTTCTCTATGTAGCCTTCCTGCTCACCCTCTCCCCCGCTCCCCTGCCCCCCCCCCATGCCAGGATTAAAGGCCTGGACCACCACCGCACCTGGCTATGGGAAAGGATTTTTAAAGGCGAAAACCTCAAGAGGACTTCAATATCCACGCAAGCAAGAAAAACACTGGTCTGTTCGGCCAAACTAAGTGGTCGAGGCAACCCAAAAGAATCTTTGGGTGTCTTCGTAAGCAAGTTACAGAAGCTACCAAAAAAAATCCAAATAAACAAACAAAAACGGAGACACACACACACAGGGCAGTATCTTGAGCATATACGAGACCTCAAAGCCCACTTCCACAGTGACACACTTCCTCCCAGTTTGTCATTTCCTCTTCATAACCAAGCCGATGCTTATGACAGTACATTTCTGGCTGAGGGTCGGGGCTGTTCTCCGAGAACTCACCTTCCAGGCAGAAATTGGAATCTAGAGCGAACAGTCTTTAAGTACTTGAAGGTGGAGTCAGCTTGATGGGATTTCCAATCAGTTAGGGAACAAGCCTCCGGCCGAGTCTGTGAGGCACTGTCTAGGTAATCACGTTAACTGAGACAAGAGAGTCACTGTACTCTAGGAGACACCATTCTGTGGACTCAGGCCCTGCACTGAAGAACACTAGACCTGAGCTGATCACAAGCATGCGTGTCCACTGCCCACCTTCTGACACAAGGTGACCAGATGGTTCAAGCCTCTTCCGCAATCACATGACTGATGCGACTGCTGGGATTGGAAGTCAAAATAAACCCTTCCTGCCTTGGGGTGCTTTTGTCAGATATTTTTGCTTGGTGACTAAAATAGCTTTATTTTAATGTCATTTACGTCATGGTTCTTTCTGGCCCCTCCCCCTTCTTGGGGAGCATCACCTAGAGCTTTTCTAGAACTTTTCTAGAGCATCTTGGGAAGAATCATCTTAAAGGAGAGACCCAGTCCGCTGGGATTTGTAAAGGAGAAAGTCACCTTATCCGTGACTATGCCATCATCACCCATCTCATAAGTATTTATATAAAAATATTCTTCAAGTCCGCAACAGAGGACCACTGTGCAGTCATCCCCCTTTGGGACACTCTGTTTCTATCTCTTTGCGGCGCTTGCTTTGCTTTGCTAAATAAACTGCTTCCGTGCTCTCTCTTGACTGAATTCTTTCCTCTGAGATAACAAGAGCCAAGAGAACTGTTGCAATAGATACATCAATTTAAATAAGCCAGAGTGCATGGGCGGGAAGAGCTGCCAGGTAGCAAGAGAGAGGATGAGGCTTAGGGTGAGGCTGTATTTCCGCAGCAACACAAATAAGGTCCCAGCAAGCACTGCAAGATGAAAGCCTTGCTCACTTCCCAGGGGACGGAGACCAACTTGTTTATTGTTCTTTATACAAGATGCTGAACAGGTCATCTAGATTCCTAAACTGCCCACAACTGCCACCTGCTTCTGGTCCATAGTGTTCACTGAGGCCATTGGTAGCAGAGACGCTGGTGAGCCCACATGCCCATTCTGTCATTGACTGGATTCTGAGTCAGAAGCACCTCTCTCCTGTTGGAGTTTCCTTATCCTTTTTTTTTTTTTTTGCCATGGATTAAGCTTCTGAGTGAGGTTTGGCTCCTTGCCATCCTTCCATGTCATACCTATGTCTTTATATTCTGACCTAGTTATGAAGCAAATTACAACACAGAATATCCTACAGAGTTGTGAATATATTCATACACCCTAACTAGTAGTTACTCCTTTGAAAATACATTGTTAAGAAATAATACTAGGGGCTGGATAGGTGGCTCAGCTGTTAAGAGTGAGCAGGCGGGGGATGGAGTTCAGATCCCATCCTCAGATTAGGGGTTTTATCTAACTCCAGCTCTAGAGGATCTAAAGCCTCTCTGGCCTCCAGAGGCACCTGCTCATACCTACATATAGACAGACACAAATGTATAATTAATAAAAGAGAAATAATGCTAAACAGAGGCAGAGCTTTTATTTGGAAGATACGTGTTGCTATATTATGTTTGTAGGCCCCAAGATTCAAACAATAGCTTCATTAGTTTTGGCAGGAAACTTGGTTCATGGAAGACTGCCAATGAGAGCACTCCTGGGATGCCCAAGGCACAGGAAAACTGCGAGTAAACAGAACTCTCCTGAGGCGTAGGAGAGTAAACACCATGTAGCATGTGATAGTACGTCACACACGCACACACTGGATAGACTACAAAGGGACAAATGTGCTGAGTATCAACATTCACCTCTCTCTCTCTCTCTCTCTCTCTCTCTCTCTCTCTCTCTCTCTCTCTGCTTCCCAACTAAATCCATGATGTGACCAACTGCCTCAAACTTCCTCCACTATGACACATGTATATGATGAGACATTGAATGCCCCAGACCTTAGAATTCAATGTTTTAGAACATACAAAGGGGTGTATACAGAAAACTTGTAGCCCAATAGTACATGGAAATGACCTGACCAACGTTTGCCTTATCTCAAAAACGAGGGGTGAGGGGAGCTCTTTGGAAGTTAATGGAATTCATAGCTTTTTAAATAAGGACCATTTCTGAACTGCTCCTCCCCCATAATCCCTATATGTCCTCTGCTTGTACATGTAGTACTTACATTTTCAGTTTTTTAAAGGTGTCATACAACATTAACCTACATGGAGAGAAATAATGACTAATACAATAACTATTCATCTGCCTAATGTGTACCTTAAACTGAAGCACAGTCGACTCTTAACTTCCCTGGAGATGTCCCACTCTTGTCTTTCTTGTCCTCCTCTTAGAGCGAAGGGAGCAGGCAAAAGCACCTTGTCCTAAGTGCTGCCATTTTAACTTCAGACTCCATTTTAACAGTAGGACAAAACAAAAGTTCAGGTTCTCAAGCCTTAGGGGAACTGGGAACCTTCCAATGGCTGACCACCCTCCTCCTTCAACAGCAGAAATGATCTGTTATTGCCCCTTAGTTCTCTAGAACGTTATGGCTGTTTCTAACAACAGAAAGAACAAATGAATCTGATTGGTTGGCTGAAAGGCTTCCATTCTATGCTGGTTGGCAATGAGGGAACACTTAAGGAAAGCTTCTACTGCCTGGATCCTGATGGGGGGTAAATGTCACTGTAACCTGACAGCTGTGTTTATGGTTTTGCGCTTATAAACCCCACTTCTGTCCCTGCTCTGGGCTGCCAGGAAAATCAAGGCTCCTGAGCCCTTGTTGTGCATCCCTGATTGATTGGTAACCCTGCTTACGTGTTGATTTAATAAAGACTTTGAACCCTTCCTCGTGGTGCACAACCGACACGGGCATAACATCTTAACTCTCTTTGTAGAGCAGGCAGGCCTCGAACTCACAGAGATCCTCCTGCTTCTGCCTCCCTAATGCTGGCATTAAAGGTGTGTGCCACCACCACTCTTCAAGATCCTGTCCTTGATTTGAACTTGCTTATTCCCAGGAACTTCCAGAATCCATAACTAGATTGTGTTTGGCTATAAATAATACAGTCTTGTTTTGCATATTTTAAACCTTTTAAAAATTATATTGTATTATATGTGTTTTTCTATCAATTACACTAATGTTGTAGACTATTATTTTAAGGTATGCTATATTTGTTTATGCAGTGGAACATTAGTTTTAATGATGCAAAAATGTGTTGCATTCTTTCCTGTTACTTTTGTTAACTCTGTGAAGCTGTCTTACTTTGCCTGTCTAAAATACCTGGTTGGTCTAATAAAAAGCTGAATGGCCAGTAGCTAGGCAGGAGAAAGGATAGGTGGGACTATCTATCATAGTCATAGAGGCAGAGAGAATAAAAAGGAGGAGAAATCTGGGAAGACATACGGAGGAGCAAGAAAAGAAGGGTCTCACACACAGACAACGAAATAAGAAGGAAAGAAAAGATATACAGAAATAGAGAAAGGTAAAAGCCCAGAGGCAAAAGGTATATGGGATAATTTTAAGTTAAAGAAAGCTGGCTAGAAATAAGCCAAGCTAAGGCTGGACATTTATAAGTAATAATAAACCTCTGTGTGATTTATTTGGGAACTGGGTGGCAGGTCCCCCAAAGTGCAAAGACCCAAAAGAGTAAAACAATCAACAACACACTAATATTACTTCTTGTGTGTGTGTGTGTGTGTGTGTGTGTGTGTGTGTGGTGTTTCGTATGTGTGTGGTATGCTGGTGTGTTTCATGTGTTTGTTAGTGTGGGTGTCAGCACCTTTGCCTGCAGATGGAAAGGCAGTGATGGATGTCCGGTGTCTTTCCTTGGTCCTCTCCACCTTTTATGTTTTTTTTTTTTGAAAAGGTGTATCTCACTAAACCTGAAACTCATAGATTTGCCTAGGCTGGCCAACCAACAAGCTCAGGAATCTGCCTGTCTCTCTGAGGTGATTAGCACATGTCACGGAACCCAGTTTTTTACATAGATTTTAGGGATCCAAACGCAGGTCCTCAGGCCAACTGAGACTGCCTCGGCTCATTTATTTCATTTGTGAGGTTTATCCACTTTGGAATATGTCTTTCTGGTTGATTTTGTTTTACTTATATATCATATTCTATGAAAATGATAACCTATCTAGTTTCTGTTATTGAACAAGTAATTCTTGCCATTTTCCCTCATCCCAACCTTGTTTCTTCTACTTGTCATATGGAGTATAATAATCTTTGTCTAGGATCGATATTTACTAGCGCATCCTGGGGTGTGTGACCTTCAGCTTCACTAAATGCTGACGTATCGTTTCTACCAGCCAATGCCTATTAACTCCAGTGTTCCACCTTCCACAGCCGAACAGCATTGATGGCCTTTTAACTTTAAAAAGTTAGCCTGAGGGTATGGAAAGGTATGGAGGCGATTCCCACACACTGTGTTCCCTACTTCTTTGTGCTACTTTTTATTGTTTTGTATTTTCTCTCTGGTTTGTAAGAATTTTGACATATTCTGCATACAGGACCTATGCTGGCCTTAGGTGTGTATGGCCCATACCTTCTTCACCAAACATCAGGTTGTCTTCGTCCCTTTCCATAGTGTTTCTTTCTTTACATTTTGTAAGATTAGAGATATCAGTTCCTGTCACATTTCTCTCCATAGTATTGTTCATGTGGCAGAGGAGAGAGAGAGAGGTTAATACAAGACTCACCAAGAATTAAAGTTGCCTTTAAAAAAAAACAAAAAACAAAAAAACATTTTTAAGGGTCTCCTGAAGCCCAGGTTGACCTTGAACTCACCCTGCAGGCCACACTGGCCTAGAACTCCTGTCCTTCCTACCTTTACCTCCCAGTTACTGGGGTTGTTTCTGTGAATCAGCACACCTGACCAATCACACAGTTTAAAAGGTAATTTGAGCTGTGACATCCCATTTCTTCTGTATATACCCATACCTTGTGTGTAGAAGTGAGTCATTAAAATCTCATCCAAATTCAGGTGCTTTGTCTGTCTGTACTGCATAGTCAAACCATGACTTACATCTCCTTCAATTCGCAACAAAATTTTTATTGTTGTTGTTGTTGTTGTTTGAGACAGGGTTTCTCTGTAGCTTTGGAGCCTGTCCTGGAACTAGCTCTTGTAGACTGGGCTGGCCTCGAACTCACACAGATCCGCCTGCCTCTTCCTCCCTAGTGCTGGGATTCAAAGCGTGCACCTCCACTGCCCGGCTAAATTCCAAATTTTATAAGGAGGCTCTGTGAAGATCATTCACTAACCCAAGCTCCTGGGGCTAATAGTGGAAACAATACTTAACTGTAGTTGCTCTTTTTTAAAAATTAAAATAAAATAAACGGAATTGTTTTCAATTATCCTGGCCGATCCAACTGAGAGAATAAACTTCAAACTCTTGTACAATTAAAAAAAAAAAAAGACTAATACCCAGTTCAAACTCTCATTATTCTAAAAACAGTAACTTCCACCAGGCTGCAATTTTATACGACGTTGCCACCCTGATGGTTATTCAATTTTTGCAACTATATACAAACAAAATCAGGTCACTGAGTAACACCCTAGGCGCGGATGGAGTGTCGCAAGAAGTTGTTTAAAGAATTGCCGCCATTGACCGGAATGGCATCTTGGGAATTGTAGTTTCGCCATACTAAACTTGGGTCACTGGGATCCAATCAGCAGAAAGCCCACAACCATATGCACCACGATTGGCTGAGAGCCGCGGCCGCCCGCTCCTTGGCCGGTCACTCAGTCTTTTGCAAAGGCGGCCCACGGTCTTTGCGAAGCGTTTGGTCCTCTGGTTTGTTGGCAGAGCTGGTGGGTGATCCTCCAGGGCGACCATGGCAGAGCCACAGCCTGCGTCCAGCGGCCTCACGGATGAGGTCGCCCTCGGCTGCTGCTCCGACCCGGACCCCAGCACCAAGGTGGGCGATAGGGCCTCCTTCTCTGGCTGCTGGAGCGGACCTGGGACTCTGGCCCGGCCGGTCTGGGCCGAATCCTAACGCAATCGGCGGCAGCCGCCGGTCCGCCGGCTTAAAGCGCAGTGGAGTGAGCTGGGAAGAGAGAGGCCGTTGGAGTAGACAGTGCGGGGGGGGGGGGGGGGGGGGGGGGGGGGGGGAAGATATCCCCTTCTTCAGAAAGTTATTTCAAAACATCTGACCCCATGTGCTTTAATTTGTTTATTTTTGCACGGTGTCTTGAAGCCAGGCCAAGTCTGGGTCAGATTCCATGTCTGTGTGCGTAGTTGTCCCTCTGTCAGACGCCATGGCCCTTTGGAGGGGCAGTTTCTGGACTCCCACAGTTAAGGGCCCTGTCTATAACTGGTCCCTCCCAGCCGCACTCTCTCTCTCTGTAGTCGCCGTGAGTCCGGCTTTCACTCCTCCAAACTGATTTAACCGCATTTGCTGTTGCACAAGACCACACTTCTGTCCCCGTGAGTCTGGTGGAGAAACTACAGGACTTCGGTCTGAAGGGTCTCTCAGACCATCTTCTGGCCCTTTTGTTTTGCAGTTACAGCCTAGTAGGGGCATAACCTGTGGCATGAGAACGCTTTCACGTCGCATGACTAAAACTCATTCAGGTGTGCGACCCTGGTCTGGGAGGTCCAAGCAGCCACCTCCGAAAGTACCTCACTGTCTCTGCATTGTGGCTGACGGTGTAGTCTTCTGTGTCAGTAAACACCTTTGCATATACTCATTTAGGTGGATCTTCTGTAAATCCCCGATGATTGAATGCAAGCTTTATGCAGACCTCTAGGAGGGGCAGGTAGATGGCGAGGACTTTGGTCCCTGCTTGTTCTTTGCCTTAAGGGCAGCGAGAGTCAGGCATACTGTAATTGCCAAAGCCTTTGACTAGAACAAGGTGTGTACTGAGGAAAGATCTTAGTCACCAGAAAATTAAGACAGGATAGAAAGAATGAATACACGCCACACACCTTTCCACACCTTCCACTTACACGTACCTTAGTTTGCATTTAATTCTTTTATTTTTTTAATGATTTTATCTATGTCTTGTTTGCTTGTAATCTGCACCTCAGAAGAGAGCATCGGATCCCATAGACAGTTGTGAGCCACCATGTAGTTTGCTGGGAATTGAACTCAGGACCTCTGGAAGAGCAGCCAGTGCTCTTAACAGCTGAGCCCTCTCTCCAGCCCAAAATGTACTTTTTTGTACCTTGATTTACATTCCACTTTCTCCAAATGCCTCTTGATTTGAAATTTTCTTTTGAGACTAGGCATTTTTAGTAATGGGCCAAAATACAACTAAGCGTGTGGAGATGTGAAACGAGTTGCCCAATACCTGGTGTGTGCTGAGTGTGCTAGGCCCCATCTGATGTTGCCCAACACCTGGTGTGTGCTGAGTGTGCTAGGCCCTGAGCTGATGTACCCGGTGTGTGCTGAGTGTGCTAGACCCTGGACTGATGTGGTGTGTGCTGAGTGTGCTAGGCCCTGATGTACCCGGTGTGTGCTGAGTGTGTTAGGCCCCGAACTG